CCCCTTCGCCCCTGCTCCGCCGACGCTGACGTTCAATCGCGCGTGCGCGCGCCGAGTTTTTGCGCGCCGCGGAAAATAGTCCGCGGCCACTCGACGCGAACGAGCACCTCCCCCTCCTTCTCCACGTCCCCGAGACCCGAGGGGTGGTGCGGAGAGCCGGCGCTACGCTCCACGTCCCCATTTAAAAAAATCAATACTTAATAATTAGCAATTAATCCCCCCGCCGAGTGTACGTGTGTGCACGTGTGCCCGCGATTACCTTCTCTCCTCCTCCACCCCTTGTCGCCCGTCTCCGTCGTTCCGCCCCGTCGTCCCCTCTCCCCTCCCCCCTCTGCCCCCCCCGTAGCCCTTTAATCACGCCGCGCTCGTTATAATGACACGATCATTATTTCGTTAATTATTCGTATCGACGTTTGTTATTCTCCCCCTTTTTGTCCCGGCGACAGGATGATTTTCGCTGGAGCGCCGAATCATGCGGGAGAGAATATAGAAAAAGACACCCCAGCGAATTCATTTGTGGATGGAATTAATTATTTGAGAGAATTATAATATCGATGTCCCATTCGTTATGATTGACGATGACGTTTTCAACAAAATATGCGTCTTATTTCGTCGGTATCTCGACACATGCTGTAATAAATATAATTAGCAACAAAATGTAATAAATTGATTAAACGTCAATGTAAACAATATGAAAAGAACGAATATATACATGTATAATATACGTATATGACATTATTATAATGCTCAATTATAATAATGTTGCGAGAAGGTAAAAAAATATAAAGAAGTTGCTAAATCGGCTTTCTTTTTAGCATGAATCAGTAACAGAGAAGAAAGATAAATTATAAGAGAACATTAAAAAATATACCTCGTTAACTGCAATTAATTATTTACCTTTCATAATTTCTCTCGTTGTGGAATGGCTATCGATGTGTTGCCCTGAATTTAGATCCCATTGCAAAATGCACTTCGGTTTATCGAAAATATTTATTACCCTACTATTTTCGTCATAATCGCGATAAATAACGCGCAGAGAAACAAATGGAGATGAACGAGGAGGAACATAACCTCTAAGGGTCCCTGTCCGGATTCCGTAATAAAAAAAATCATGGAAACAGTTGTCAAATTCTTGTCATTTTCTACATACACATTTTACCGCAGGAAAAAGGAAAGATCATATTGAAATATTCGGCAAAAATTAAAAAATTGCGGTATACTTTTTGGAGAAGTTATATTGATACTTTTATCCCCGGTAAGCGGACCGTTTAGTAGACCGACAGCGAATTTGATTAGGAATGATCAGAAATCGCTGACAAATCAACATTGACTGATTCGCATTAAGCTCTCGTTACTCTCGTTTTAATGAGCAAAATATCATGGTTTGACCATTCATGGTTTGGAGCATTATGATATAACCTGACAACAGATTGACAGTAGAAGCCGAGCCGAGTTCATCAACGCGGATTCCGCTCCATTTTTGCCGGCAATCCGCGTCAACTGTGTAGCGTCAACATGCCAAAACTTGCTTGATTTATTGTCATATTTTGTTGACATAATTTGCTATATCTCTGCTAAAATTCTGCCAACAGCATTGAATATGCCAGAACCTGTATCACATCCATCACATCCATAGTTTCTGTTGGGAAAATTTATAGCCAACATTTATGACAGAAGCTGCTCTTAACACTCCTGGCTTAATATCTCCTGTAAGATGTTGAAGAATGAGATCTGTGGATACATGTCACTGTTGTACAGCGTCGCTAACAAGCCGCTGGATCTATGGTCGAAACACGTATCCTTTGGTGGCAAAGTTCGTAGAGTGAACGACGATCTATTGCATGGAGATAAAGTAATCGAGATCACCGGGCCTCACGACAACACGATCCCCACGAGCATAACTATTCCTGCCAAGGCACTAGACATCCTGAACATAAAACTTCCTGTTCTCATATTAGTCGTAAAGAATTTGAACTTGCGGTTCAAACTGGAAGTTCAAGTATACGCTCTTTAAATTTTATGATAGATATCCGTATTATTCTTAATATCTTAATAATGATTCTCTATCTTTGATACATATGAAGATAATAGATAAGCAACAATATCGGAGAAGATTCTCCTTCATGACCTACAATGTTGAAAGACTACCAAGCATCAATGCAAGTATGGCTCGTATTCCGTTGAAATTGGATGACTGTTGGAATTTCTTAGAGATAAATCTTCAGAATCTATGTCACCAAGTGTATAAAACGGATTATGAGGCTCTGCAAAGAGTAACAATCTATCCGAATTGTCATTTAAGAAGAGTGTATCTGCAAGATCGTCATTACAATGATGAAAATCATGTCGAGCTGTATCAAGCTTTCTTCAATATGTATATGTTAAAGCAGGGAATCAATTTCATCGAAAAGTCTTGTCAGACGGAAGATTGTTATACAGGTTTTGTAAATTCTCGAAGAAATGTGAAATATATACATATATTAGCATATATTTATTTCTTTCTGGTTTTTAGGACCTTTAGAGCAATCTGATTTGAATTATTTTGTTAAAGATAATTCTAGTAGTACATCGTTAACAAAAGTGGATTCATGTAAAACCGCAAGCAGCATGGAAAAACTAAAAAGTAATCTATCGATGAACTTAAATTTATACAATTCTGATACATTAAAAAGGAATCACATGTCACTGGATGCTTTAAACGATGCAATAAAAAAACGGCATGTTTTTACAAGACAAAGTGAATGCTTCACAAAATCTCTAATAAATGATCCAGTTATAGAAAATAAGTTAGAAAAAGATAGTGACGTAACAGAAAAAGTAATCCAACATTATGCAATGAAAACGCGTAAGACAGGAAACTCCTTACTAAATATAAAAATTAATAATCATACGTCGCGACCTGCGTCTTCTATCGAATTAAAAACAATCATGAAGAGCCAATTTTTGAAAACGCATGTCAGCGAAATATTCAAAGATAATGGAATTCCAAAATATCCGCAGAAAATTCAGAATGCAGGAGATACATATATTAACTTAACAAACTGCACGTTAAATGATAACGCTAATAAAGTACAGACAGGAAAAGATAATTCCACGATAGTAAAATTTAAAGTAGATGCCATGGGTTCTTCGTCGTCTTTTAAACCCGATCTATCTGAAAGCATTAAGTTTGATAATATAAATAATAATGTGTCTGACATTCCAAACGATGGATATATTCGTTCTAAGCATAAATATATAAAAGAGAATAATAAAAGTATCGCCAATCGTTTAAGATCTTTAGTTAGTATCGAGGAAGATATTGAAAATTTTAATGAAAATGTGTCCACAAACAAATGCATTCCACCTCTAATCGAGAAAGAGACAGTTCTGGACGAAATGACAAGGCATGTACTCAACGATGGATAAAACTTACAATATCAAAATTTATAGCAATAGATTCCGTGAACAAGAAACTTCTCGAAAAATTACAGGATAAAGAACTTACCGTATACATAGAATTGTTATTATGTAATATGACAAATATCGAAGAAACTTTGGTCAAGAAAAGTTTATGAACAAAGATGACATACAAATAAATATTGATTCACAATAAATTTAACTGCTTTTTAGCAGATTATTTGCAAAAGTAGAATTTTAACAAAAATATATAAACAGGAAAATACAATGAGAGCAAAAAGTATTCGTACAAGAAAATTTTTAATAAAAAGTCTTATTTGTAAAAACATTAATTAGCAATTTTATACAATGAATATATTCTGTTCTAACATAAACAAACGAGCTTCGTATGTATTCCTGATTTTAGAAGCTAAATTTCTCGACTGCACGAATACTTTTCGAGCATCCAAATAATAGAAATTTTAATTTCCGCTTATTTTTCAAATGGTATATTTTCTATAATTAATACACATCTTTTTATATATATAATTTTAAGAAGCATACAGTTTATTGTATTATTTATGAATAAATTGTTAATTACCCAGCAAGAAATGATCGTCAATTAAATGTCGAATTGACGTCATTGGTGTTGAAATCATCGTATTGATATCGATTCGACATCAATTCGATGATTCATTTTTCGCTGGATATTTACTTTTTAAAAATATTTTCTCTGTACGAATACTTTTTGCACTCACTGTACTTTTTTCCATATATAGTGATAAGCAAATTACACAATTCTTAATATACATACTTAATAACATAAATTGCATGTACATGATCTATATTCTATTAAGTAAAAATTAACCTTAATGAATATTATATTATTAATTATATTACTTGCAATTGTTTAAGTAGCGTATAAAGTTAAGACAGCCTTCAATAAATTATTTTTTATTTTGAAAGTAACTCAAACAAATTTAAAAAAAAAATTTCAATTGGACAGCTGTTCTTTCTTTTACTAAAGATGCTCGCATTCCCTTCACTAATTATCAACATTTTGCTTTATTTTGAATGGGCAAGAATAATTTAAATTCTGCTGGTAATTCGTCCTCTGAATATAATCGATCTGAAAAGTACACTCGCCGTATCCTACAATTAGCATGAATTTGGACCCTCAGTGTCTCCACATAGTTCGTTCCATAGGCACGGCGTGTGAAGTCAGCCAAGTTGAATTGTATTTGATTCCATCCATCGTCCAGTCTCATTGGCATTGTACATATGAATGGTTTTACTCTTGTCGTTGATTGATAATTACTTGCACGAAATCTGCGACGTACATTTTTGTCATCAATTATCTGCAATGTGTAAATTTTTTTATATTAGGAAAGATAGATTAAGCATTTAATGAGCGAAAGAATTCATAAAATTTCTTAAATATATTAAATATTCTTTTAGAATGACACCGATTATACAAGAATAGTCAACTCGTAATGAATAGGTTTTGGATTTGTTTAGGGTCCCCAAGTTAAATACTTTTCCCTTAATTTTTCCATAAACAATAAGAACCTCACCTGAACCTCAAATGTGAAATACTTCTTTAGATTCTTGATAATCATCACCAGAAAGGGCAACTTTATGCCCAAAGTCTTCCTTGGATCTGCAGGACATGTGATATACGTTGTGCTAACATTGCTGCCTAGTATCTCCAGGACAAGGCTTTGAATATCATTGTCAGTGATCCTCTTAATATGTCCATTCCTCACTTTCTTGTCCCAGATTTGCAGGGGCTTGCTGCCAATGCTATATAGAATAGATAGAAAACCACTTTGGAAGGTGTTCTTGAACATTTTCGGATTCGTTTGGGATCACACTGCTCTGACAATTTTCTTATACCAAGACAAGGCTATCTCTCTATTTTCTCGTCAAGCCTGCAATATAAATTAATGTGATGAATTCAGCCGATTCCTCGGCGTTGACCAAACACCGCAGCTAACCTTCTTCCATCTTAAGCTAATAAAACTGCCAAATAAATCCCGGAGTGGAATCAAGGCACCATCGGCACAGAAAAGATCAAGCTGAAAACACGTTACGGGTGACGATTTAGAAATTCATGCTTATATTTGAAATAAAAAATTTTCCTTTGTGTATCGATTGTTTTACTTTAATTCATCTGAATCCATCGTTTCACGAGTTGTTTCTTACAAAATAATAGCGGCGACTCTAACCTATAATTGACTGTTTGATCGATACATTGTTCCATAATATTCGTATGATTACATCAACATAACCGGAGTTCAACCATCGGACGTCAGACCTCAGAATAGCAAGCTTAAAATAATTAGATTACAAGTATAAATTTAATTTAGATTGCATTTATTATAATTTCTTTGTGTTTTTTAAGGTTATACAATTTAAACTATAATAATCATTGACCAATATACATTGCAGTTCGTAATTGCAGACAGTGGGAGACTTTTCGTGGCGAAACGTTTAACTACGATATCCATTTCTTTGTCTCGTCAATAAGGAAGAGATTCTTCATTTTTTACTTTAGAGTTAGAGTATAAGTAATAAATATGTTTCAGATATTTTAATTTATACTTTTCAGATAAATTTTTTTTATTTAGGATAATTTTTCTCAGAATTTTTTATATGAATTATTAAAACACTTTTCAGAAACACCGAAAAAGTTTCGATTTAATATACTTTTTATTTTTTTGTAATTCCAGAATTTTTAAGATACTGTTTACTTTTTTTAAATTCTAGAATCAGAAAAATAATAAGTTAATAAAACGAGATTAAAGTTAATTTTAAATTGATAAAATTAGACTTTAGAATTTTTCATATATGTGAATTTCAAAATATTGTAAGATTTCCATTCTATGATTTCTAAAATCTTTAAACTTTTTCAGATCTTATAAAATTTTGTTAAAAATTATAGAGAGAGAGAGAATATAGAGTTCTTTAAATCTTAGAATATTTCAGAATTTACATATATGAAAAATTTTAGAAAAAATATAGATTTTTCAGCAATTCCAATTTGTATAAAGTATCTAAGAAATTTTCTAAAGAAGTATAAAATTATTAAAAATTTTTAAATTTATATAAAAATTTTAAAAAATTGTATGAATAATTCTGAGAAATATTTTCACCAGTAAGATTTTAAGTTTTTCTTAAAATAAGATGTATCTATGAAATTTTTTTGTAGCAATTAAACAAATTAAGAATATGCATATTAAAACCTTAGAGAGAGAGAGAGAGAGGTATATTAAATCTCATAAATACTTACCAACTAAACTGATACTTGATAAAGAATATTTTATTCAAACGAAAGCCTGAAATATAATAAGGGTAGATAAAATAAAATATTCTCGTATTCGTGTGCCACCTTGTCATGCGTATATTTGAAACGCATAGTAAAAAGGCCATATACATGTACGTGAAACCTTTCTACAATCGTTCTCATCAACGTCAAATACAAACTGATAGAGGAAAGCAGTAGATTCCTATACGTCGTACAATTCACTTTCGAAAATGCAATTAAAGCTTCATCGGTACGAATGATCTCCTCGATCGTTAGGATGCATTCACTTAAGGAGCAATCATTCCCCTCGATAGATGTTGTCGAGGACTCGCATTACGCAATTGCGTTTTATACGTACGTTACAGCAAATCGTTACAAACAAATTGTTTTACTTAAAATGTAAATCTAACATAATCGGAACTACATTACGGTATCGTATACGGTATTTTCTCTCACGCTCGGTACTGACCTATAAAACACAATATTCCTAGAATGAATATTATAAAGGATAAATAATATTCACGTAACATTCTAGTGCGTTCCACTTATCGTTCGCAACGTTTGCGTGCATCATTTCAATCTTGTTTAACATACATTTGATAACAACAAGAGTGAAATAATACTTACGAGCGTTGTGAATGTTAAGTTAAACTCTAGGAATATTGTATGCTTACAGAGCGATTCCGTCAACTGAAAAATTGCGAAAAGTTAATATGTATATTTTACAGAAACTTTACATAGTAATGTTGTAACATGATGAAACGGCAGCGGTCACTTGATCTTCCTTAATACTAACCGAAAGTAAGCAAACGTAGCGGTTGTATGTGCGATGGCATTAAAACAAAATGACGGAACAAAATGTGGATTACGCATGAAACTAATATTACGCATTCTTCTTCTTTTTCTTTCTGACAGTGTCGACATATTAGTTTGTGTTTCCTCAACACCTTGCGGATCAAGCCAGACAACGCAATTGACTTCTCAATACGAACAAGCGAGTTTATTTTTCTCTCTTCAAAGTGTCGAAGGATTCCGGTTTCCGGTATCTCGGTAAATTGATACGTTATATTCGCTTATCTATTCGTTAATATTAATTATACGATATTACAGTTCATAACGTGAAATTGTTCCTTTTCTCTTTCTCTTGCAGCGTATGCGACGTAAATTATTTAATTTGAATCTTTATCTTGCTTAGCTCTTGAAAAACTATATGTATATAATGGAATCTACCACTGCGTCTTGTAATACTGAATGTCACATGAACAAGAAAGGCCCACTTATAAAAGCGATCGGCAAAACAAAACCCAACTAGAGTCTCGAAGAGTCAATAAATAATTTTTTTCCCAGCAAATGTCTCAAACAAATCTCCATTTAACGGACAGATCCATCATTTCCACGCGAACATTTCTTACAAATTTTCAATGTACCGAGTATCGGGCATTATGAATAAAAATGCACGCGACTTTAGTGAACAATAACACAGTTTACTAACCGTTATAGAACGTTTATGTAAATCACTTGTATTTATTGTTCAGTAAATCGCATATAATACAAGAGCAATGAATAGAAGATAGCAAGTCGCTTGGTTGAGAATGCCGGTACAAAACTCTGTGTCGTTACATCATAAAAGGCAACATTCGATCAGTTTATATAGAGACGCATAGAACTTTAAATCAAAAAGTAAAAGCTCATCATGAATATTCAGGGTTTGTACCGTTTCTCAATGTCTATCTTTATTCATTATTAAGTTTCTTCCACTCTAGTATTCTTACTCGTTTCCCGACAATAATACAAAATTCACCGTTCTTTCAGGATTATTTCTCAGCAAAATTAAAACAATTTCGTAATAGTCCGGACGCAACGGGACAAATTTTGAATTATTGCCTTCTCTTCTTTTTTTTTCTCTTTATTAGATTCATCGAAATTTCCGACGCAACGTATCATTACTGTCTATCTGCGAACGATAAAGATGTACGGAAATTT